AACATAAAATCATTCTCAGTTTAATTTTACTAAGTACTTCTGTTAGTGTTGGGATTACAGGATTAAGTTTTCAACTTTTTTAAAACTGGAAATTATTATATGGTATGTAAGATTAATGACTTTCCTTCAACCACTGATAATCCTAGGAACTTTTTTCTACAAATAAAAGGTGCTTTCTTATCATATTCATATTTGTGCCTCCTGGTCTTTCATCATATTTATAAATTTTGGGCTTAACCTAAGCTTGAAAATGCTTAAAATCAAAATATTATCCACATTTTGCCATAACTCTTCCCCTTTTGGTAAATGTCATTGACATGATATGGCTGAGCCATATTAAGGTCATACACTATTGACTCGCCATAGTCTAGAGGATCAATTAAAAATGAATATTGACAAATCTTTGGAACATTACTGAATGCTCTTTATTTTTATTTTAAAGGAAACTAAAGCTCATCTGCTTTCAAACTAAACATTTTAATTGTATTTTTTATAACCCTGACTGTAAGAACTGACAAAGCCAATTTCTAAGTCTTAAGTACATATCTTTAGTTGAATTAATAAGAGGAAAGTCAAATTCTGAAAGCAAAGTGTCTCATGTCCTGAAGAGGAAAGTGATTGACCAATTTAATGTAAAATAATACATATATATGCAAATATATGAGTGCTTGGATATAAGTCTGTGGCTCTGTTCACAACTAGTGGTCTTAAGTCATAGTGATTACAGTCATGTACTGCACAGTGACATTTCTGTCTAGGAGGAGCCACTTGTATAGGGGTGGTCCCATAGATTATATCACCTAATGACTTCATATCATCTTAGTGTGTGTACATGCACCCTTTTACCATCAGTTATACCCATTTGTCAATCTACATCTCTATATGGCTGTCCATTCTTAATCAAAGACCTAACTATAGTGTTAAATATGGCGGCATATTCCTGTAATCCCAACGTTTAGGAGGCTGATGCAGGAGAATTATGAGTTTGAGCCAGCCTGGACTGCAAAGTATGTTAAAGGCAGTCTGGACTACACAAGATGACCCTGTCTCAAAAGTAAAAACAAACAAAAAATTCTATGCATAAAAATGGAGTTCTCCCTGGGTCTCCGGGTCTTTCTGAATGCTCTCACATCATGTAAAACATGGATGAAATACACCTGTTATGCTTTTCTCTTGTTGACCTATCTTTTGTTGAAGGAGTGCCAGCTGTGACCTTCAGGAGAATGAGGAAAGGAATCCTATCTTTCTACACCAACACTAGTAAATGGCCATTTTGAACTCATTTTGTTGTAGTTGAATAATTGATCTTGGAAGCAGATTTGCCTTCAAGGTCACACATGGTTCGTTTGAAATGCACAAGCCTTCTAGGAGTTGCTTATGTTTTCTTACTTCCTTTCCCTCTCTACAGGTAGGAAAGATGGAGGGAGTCAGCGCAGGTCTAACTAGCAAGCTGGACAGGCAGGCAGGGAAAGCAAGCGCATACCAAAGTATTTCCCCCAAAAATAAGCACAACCTGATTTGATCAAAAAAATTCTATAAATACAGTTAAGAGTTTTCTTATATTCAAAATAAGACTTCAATATGTTTAACAGTGTAATTTTTTTCGTTAAGTTTATTGATATATTTTAGGTATATAATATGATATTCATCATTGGAAATTTGTATCTGTACATGATACATCTTGGTTCTTATTTTCTCCCCATTCCCCTGCCCTCCCTTCAACCCCTCCACCCCTCCCTATTTACAAAGACTTTGTTTCCATTTTTTAATTTTCTTCTATTTATTCCTTTCCCTTCTTTTCTTTCCCTTACCCTCCCACTTACCCTTCCCCTTTGAACCTTGTCTTCCTATTTCACATTATTATATATTTTGATCCTCATTTATACTTTCAGTTTCTCACACCAGAGAAACTATTTGGTATTTATTTGTGCAAGGTCCTGTATTCGATCCCCGTTACA